TATAACACTGTTGATAATTCCGTTTTATATGAATTCCATGTTGTACGAGTCACTTAGATTTTACAAATACGTGAGCCGTTCACAGCCCAGCACACGTATTTGTAAAATCTAAGTGACTCGTACAACACGGAATTCATATAAAACGGAATCATCAACAGTGTTATAGGGGGGTCGACTGTATATATCAATGGAGTTAAATACTTGTTTCCCTACGTTCAGTTGAATTTAAATAATAATTAAGTAAAAAAATAAATTTATTTTTATTTAATTTAAAGCGCTTAAACTTTAACAATTTTATTTTATTTTTTAACAAATAAAATAATTTAAGAAATTTGTAATAAATTTAAATTTTCTCTTCGTGTCTTTAGATAGAAAGTAGAACAATAACAAAAAAAAAAAAAAAATTCCGAGGTCATAAAATAGATTTTAAAATACAGCACCGAAACAAAATGAATTATTAAAATTTCGAATGTTTTTTTTTTAAATTCTTGAATAAAATAATTTCCACAGAATTTTTTAAAATAGAATTTACGTTTAAAAATATAATAACAATAGCATCAGTAGCAGTAGTAGAGAGCATTGTAACTTATACGTAATAATTAAAGGTCATAGTTCACTTGTGGCCTCTTGTAACCCCGCTTACATGTGGAGGTGTTTATACAGAACTCGTATACCTGCTACGAACAACGTACTCCATCCGGTTGCCATGTCAACAGATTGATTTTCCGCTATCTCTTAGACTTAGAACTTATAGGATGCTTCTCCGTCAGACTCGCTTGCATAAGGAAAAGTGTCATTTACAGGCGCATAGTCACTATCAATCTATACAGATTTCATTCTTACATAACATCGATTGTTTTAAATTAAGCGCTTGATATAAATGGGATAAATATAAAAATAACCTAATTCGATTAAAATATCTTAAAATAATCTATTTTTAATCATATTTTCCATATTTTAAAATTAAAATAAGGTTAAAAAGTAGATATTCTTATCACTCCATTATTACCGTAAAAAAACTGTTTTTTTAATAAATTTAAATAATTTAAATCGCTTCCTATAAAAAATTATATTAATTATAAGAAAGATTAAACCGTTATACAGTGTTTAAAACTGTAATAAATTAAAATATATTCAGTAAAACCTGTCTAAAGCGGAACCTTCGTAAACGAAAAATCTCTACAGAATGGATTTTTTTATGTAAAAATTAAAGGACCTGTCGAAACGTCCTTCCTGATTAGACGTTAAAGGATAAATTTTTATTTAATATATTTTATTTTAAATAATTCAGATTTAAAATAATAATAATAATAATACATTGGCTAGCGATTTTTGTAAAAATTGAGAGAAAGCGATCTCTCATATCGACCCATCTGTCATTACTATCTCTTGAATAGCTGTTAGAATATCATATATCAAAATTCCAGAGTAAGAATTTTATTTTTTATAAACTTTTCTTTTAAAACTTTAACATCTAATTAAAGTATCGAATGTTTAAAATTGTACTTTTACTTATAAATAATTTTTTTTTAAAATAAATAATAATAATAATGATAATTCCTCTTTATATTTTTCTACTCTTTCGCATCTCTGCTACTTCTTACTCTCTAATTTAATTTTTATTTCTTAATTTTTTTTTTAAATTAAATAGTGTAAACAATTGTTTTTAATCTTAAAACTTATTATTTCAGCTTTATTTATTTATTATTATTATTATTATTATTATTATTAAATCGATGAATGTAGAAATCTGTATAAACTCTAGAAATCTCTCTCTCTCTCTGTCTCTAGATTTATCTAAAATTTATTTATTTATTATTTTTATAGAATAAAATTTTTTAAAAATTCTAGAATTTAACATCAAAAGTAAGATTCTGAACACAGAAAAAACATTAAACAAGATCAATTTCACATAAAGAAAGGGAAAAAATTAGGACAAAAAATCCCTGTAATATTATTTTTCCATTTGGAAAGGAATTTTTTTTTTGTTTTTGTTTTTTAATTTATATTTCGAGTAAATAATTAATTTTTTCCCTAAAATTTCGTTTTAAAATTTAAAAAAATTAATAAAATATTTTTTGTGTTTACATAAAGATACACTTCTACTTAAATTTATTTATAAATGAAATCAATTTTACTTCTATTTTTATAATAGGAGAGAAGCGCAAGATGAACTGTTTTAAAGTAAATAAATAATAAAAAGAAATAAATTTAAGAAAATTTTACGGATAAAATATTTAATTTTTAATTCTAAAACTCGCTATCGAATAGAAAAAAAAAATCTTGATTTTAATTAATCTAACCGATTGCTAAATAAAATTAATTTATTATTATTAATAAACATAATTTCAATTTATGCCTTAGTAAATCTCTGGAAAATCGATTCTAATACTTAAATTAATAATTATTTTTATAATATAATTAAAATTCTCGAAATAAAGAAGACAAATTGTGTTTGGTAAACATGATTTATCATAAATTACAATTATTATTCTTCAATAATTATAACACTATTAAGATTTAACTGGGGGAATTTTCAAGATATTATTCTCTCATTTAGTTAATGATGATAATGAAAAAAAGGGGGGAAATATTCGAAAAGATAATCTTAAAAATTGATTTTTAAATTAACTCCTATTCAACTGTGAATAATGCAAGCAAAGAGAGTTTCCATGATAATCAACTCCTGATAGAAGTTAGCCCTTTATACTTTAATTATAAATTAAAATTCCTAATCCATCTAATCATTTATAAAGAATTAAATTCACGAATTACATCTGGAATATTTTTGGTTGCGAATTTATAGAATAGAATCTGTAATAAATTAAGGAAAATACTTCAAAGTTTTACACGAATCACCGGCGATTCTTAAATTCAATTGTTCTATGGAGTTTATAAGGAGTTTAAGGTAATGAATTTAAAGTTAATTTATATTTATTTATGGGGAAAAAAATCCATATATATATATTTATTTATTTATTTTCTAAATATATCAACCAATAAAACGTTAAACTGAAGTGTAAAAAGTTATACGACGTTGTAGGAGATTATTGACAATATTACTTGGCATGTGAAGTAATATTAGGGATATTGGATGCCCAGTTTTTTAACTGTGAAAGAAAATATATATATGAGAGAGAGGAAGAGAGGAGATAGGTCAACGACAGGACGTCACTCCTAAATACTCAACTTTTTTTCTTACATTTTTTTTTTTCTACAATAATTAGATTTTGTGACCTCAAACCAGCATCCACACATATCACTTCTTGTTACGTCACTAAATGTACGTTACGTATGAGAAAAAATTTCGTAATTTTTCTATAATTTTTGCTTGAATTTATGCCGTTTACTAGGTGTTAAAAAGACTTAAGATGGAAGGAAGCGCGCACAATACACAAAAAACCGAGCACGGAGGGGGGAGACGTGAGAGGAAAATCCACGATTTGATCTGACATAGAAATGAAAAGAACACGTGGAACTTGGATAATCAATAGAAACTGCGGAGACAGCGAGTTGCCACTAATGTCGATCTGCCCATACATTTTTCTCATCAGTCAGAGTCGGAAAGGGGCCATTGTTCTGTTCGGAGATTGGAGGTCAGAGGTCGTGACACTCGTGCACTTTCCTCCGACGTCTCTTCTATTATTAGATTGAGGAGTAAAGATCGAAAGTAAAAGTTACTCACCGTCTCTTTTATGCCTGGAAACTCTTGTTGTGTTTTCGTTTTCCAATTTCCATTGCGGGTAAGACAAAGCGAAGTATGGGATGGAAGTCACCAACGACCAAAACACTAGAAATTTGGGAATTTTGGAATCCATCACCTCAAACCATTAAGTCGTTATCCCTATTGTGTGAGAGCTGGAAGCTCTCCTTTTGACCATGTTAAAAGCTGTGCATGAATCCTACCGAAAGGGAAAGCTGTCTCATCTCTAGGCCAGCTTCATTCCGACTGACAATCTCCAGCTTCCGCCGAAAAAGACATCTGCCACCTGGCGACGGAAGATGGAAGCTCTTCGTTTAATATTTATACAGCGACATCCACCACTCGAATCTGTTTCTCCCTCAGTTTTAAACGTTACTTCTGTATTTAAAAAAAATTAAAAAAACACAAAAATTGCGTCGTAAAATAAACGTTTCAAGTTTAAAATAAAGAATTCGATCGATTTTCTTACATTTTATAAAAATAAAATCGGTTTTCTAACGGGTTTTTCCGAGTTTAATCCCTTATTCTCGCAGCATCAGGGAATCGGATTTAACTCGTGTTTTCGAGATTATATAAGAAATTTTAAGTAATTAAACGATTTAAAAAACGTTTTAAATATTTAATTCCAATTAATTAAGGATCGTAGGCGTGATATACGGCACGAATATCGCATTCAGATGCTGCGATTTCTAGCATTTACGGATGCCAAATTGAAAGAATGATGGATGGAAAGACATCAAACGACCGCATTCAAGACAAGAAAAGTGACTTCTAACATGTCACTGCTGCTGATTTGGAATTGCAGATATCACGTTCAATCTTAATCTAAGAAATCGAACTGCTCTTGATGTTCCTATATATTGAACTTTATTAGAAAATAAAGTTTTATTTTCTACACTAGTTGGTTACTGCGCTCTCGTTTCCGTCGGAAACTAAATTGAAATCTATTTTTAAACCCCAATTTCTTTACTTTTTAACAAGAGAACGATTGAAAAATTTTAATTTTTTATCGTATTTTTAATGTATTTAATTTAAAATATATGCTCTCTATCTCAAATTATTGTCTTACCCCTGTAAATCATACTTTTCCTGATAACAATAGTGTCATGCTGGTTAACTAATGTATCCATTCAGGTAAATTTTTGAATTGAAATAGCGTAATTTTCGATGAAAATCGGAAGTTCGTACATAGTTAACTGGGAAAAAACTACAATTAAAGTTTACACATATTTAACTTGATTATAATGGCTAATTATATGAATTTTTATGTGTAATTAATGCTTTGTTTATGATTTTAAAGTGCCTTTCTCGTAAGTCATTTATAAAAATAACGATTTTATTGACATATAGCTTAGAAAATAAATTTTTTTATAAAAAAAAAAGTTATGGTTACGGGCCATCAAGAGTATGGAATTATCGCTTATTACACACTTAATTGCATGTAAGTAACTTTAGATACAGCAAGGAATGGCTTTCGAGAGTTTGAAGGATATTAAAATAACAAAAAAAAATTCACTTCTTAAATGATTTAAATTAATTATTTATGGTCAATTTATTCATATTTATAACGAGGATATCATCAAAAATTTTTAAATTCTTTTATTAAATGATAGAGCATCGATGACCTAATTATGTCACAGTCAATGAAGCGTAATCTATAACAAGTTTAATATTTATTTAACGTTTAATATGTATACGTAGAGAATTCCTGTGTGCATTGTCCAATCTAAAAAATAAGAAAATTGAACATAGATTTGAGGAACACAGATAAGGAAATTGAATACAGAAGCACAAACACAGAAAGAGCATTAAAAATAGATGTATAGAACACAGGAGAGTGTAGAATACAATGTATAAAACAGAAAAGAAAGTTGAGCACAGATATATCGAACACAGAGAAGGAAATGCTGAACACAAACGTATAGAACATAGAGAAAAGTGTTGAACGCAGATGTATCTAACATAGTAAAGAAAGTTGAGCTCAGATTACAGGACACAGAAATAGTACACTTAGATTCAATCAACTTACTTTTCTTATACCTTTCTACACTCTTCTGTGTTCAATCAACAGCGATATAGAGAGCACAGAAAAGGGAGTTGAGTGCAAGGAGGCCTATAGAACACAGAAGAGCGCTGAATACAAACGTGCACAGAACACAGAAAAGGAAGTTGAATACAAAGAACAGTGTTGAACAACAATACAGCAAAGAAAGGAAAGTTAAGCATAGACACGGAGAAAGAAAATTAACATAGATGTATGAACATTTTGTAGTGACAAACTCTAAAAATTGGACTTTCTTCTCTTGATCGTTATTGGCAAAATTTAACTCGTACAAAAAATAAATAAATAAAGGAATTCAAGTATTTATTAAAAATTCAGAAAAAAAATTTTAATATGTATTAAATTATATATTAAATTTAAAAACTTCTATATAAAATCAAAAATAAAATCAAATAATAGTTTGTAAGAATCGTATTAAATTTCTATTTTATTTTATTTTTACAGTCGAATCTTAAATAACGGCCTCCTCCCATCAACGACCGCCTCAAAACAGTGGCATATTTTATTATTTAGGATATTTTCCTGTGAGCAAAATTGCATACGAACCAACCTCCGAACAACGGACACTTCTTTATTTCCGTCGGTGTCCGTTCTCCACAGGTTGGACTAACGTATTTAAAGTGCTTCTCTCGCTCCACTTATTCTCTGTACGTGTATTAAAATTAAATACGTGCAGTTATTCATAGTATGACTAACGCAGTTTACTAATTAACTATATATATATTTAACTAATTTATGCACGTGTTTACCCATTTATAAATGCTAATAGTAACGATATCAACACACAAATTGTGACACTTGACATTTAAATACGCTTAAATAAATTTTAAAAATAACTTTAAAAAAAAACTTAAAATATATAATTTAAATAGTTTAATAATTCCAAATTTATCGTGTATATTTATTGTGTGAATCTTATTTTCCTTGCTCTTGATTCGTTGAATTAATGTTACGTTACGTTATGTAACTTTCGTATCATTTTGTGTTAAATTTTACGCGGATTTGACGTCATTTTGCTTTTACGTGACTATAAACTCACTTTTATGTTTATACTTTATGTAAGAGTTTTCCCATATTACGTCGAGTTTTCGACGTCACTTGCATAATTTTGACGCAATTTTATATAATGTGACATCATGTTATGCTTTACTATTATAAAAATTTAACGTCATTTTGTGTTAAATTTTGTGTAATTTTGTGCTAAATTTTTACATAAATTTGACGCCATTTTGTGCTAAATTTTTACATAAATTTGACGCCATTTTGTGCTAAATTTTTACGTAAATTTTACATCATTTTGTGCTAAATTTTTACATAAATTTGACGCCATTTTGTACTAAATTTTGCATAATTTTGGCATAGTTTTTAGACACCTTTTCGCTTTATTTTACAAAACTTTGAGGTTATTTGGCGCTTAACGACAACATATTTATCTAAAATTTGACATTTTTGACATAACCTTTACGTTTATTTCACGAAAAAAAAAATAATAATAAATAATAATTTCCACGGCCAATAGATTCAAACGGAAGCACCGCAAACAATAGCATTTATATCATAAAAAAATAAAAATTTATGAAATAAAAATTATTTTTTATAATCTTTCCAATATCATTTTTTTTTAAATTTCGCTACACAAACGAAAGTTAAGAAAAAAGTTCCATCACAAGAAAAAAAAAAACTTCCGTTCGATCGTGTTTACGCCTCACTTGCCAATTTTCTTTTGATTTTTTACGATTGTTCGTCGTTATAACCTCACATAAATTAGCAAAACGAAAGGAGAAAAAAAAGAACATGGCGGAACACGAAAAAATGGCAACACTTTATAAAATATTATAGCTCGACGCGACGTCATTACTCGCGGATTACACGAGCGACTACGTCATCGTAGGTTCACGCGAGAGAACGACGACATTTGGCGAAGTGCCAACATTTAAAGGCAATGAACGAAAATGGCGGAATTACGGCCCCTGACCTACTTCCCTTTATTTTTCATAAATTATACGAAAAGCAATTAATGGCGGTGTTTATAACGCTAACTTTTGCATAAATCACTTAAATTTTTCTACGTGGACGAGCAAATATTTTCCTAATTAGTAGTTTGGTTTTCGTCTGAGCAGGGGGAAGGAATTTTTGGGTAAACTAGAGGAAAACTTGTGTTTATCTTCGTTTAAATAATTTTCTGATAGCGTGAACAGATAACGGATAAGTAATTAAATGCGTTTATAAGACGTATAAAGCATTAAAATAATTAATTCGAGTGATTTTGATGTTGGAGTTCTTCCTTTTAAACTTGTTTTCAAAGGTGGAAAAACACGTACCAAAGATCTTAAGCAAAACTGATTAATATGAGTGAGTTTTTAAGAAGATTTTCGAGTTAATTTTACTAAAATTTTAATGTATAGTCAAACCTCCGAACAACGGACACCTTCTAGCAACGACCACCTCAAAACAGCAGCAAATATGCGTACAAAATAAACCTCCAAACATCGTTCTCTTCAGAGATTTCTCTATATCAAACTATTATTTAATTAAATTAAATTTGTATATAGTTAATATAAATCAAGATTGTTTAATAAAGACGAATAAGGCGATATTTTAAAAACTAATTTACTCGAAAAATATTTAAACATTCTCAATGTCCGTCTGTATGTCTAGTTATGAAAGTACATAAAAATCCTATCATAATTAATTAAAAATAAAATTCGAGAAATATTTTAATATTAATCTCAAACAAAATATTTAATAGAAAATTATTTTTGTTTGCAATTTTAAACGAAAAAAAAAAAAAAAAACTTTTTTTTTAACTTTTAACTTTTAACTGGCGTTTCCTGAACATAGAAAAATGCAATAAAATTCGAGAACGTTTGCTCTTTTTTTATTTTTGTTTACGAGATAAAAGTTTAGAGTGCTGTTAAAGTCAATGAAATTTCTTCTTCCTAAAGACTAAACCATAACAGATAAATCGATAACACACACACACACACACACACTACACTACACTACACTACACTACACTTCTAGTGTTTCTACTCAATTTTCTTTTTATGCCGTTTCCATTAACAAATATTTTAATATAAATCGTTCCGTAAAATATTCCATATAAACAGTATTTTTTTTTCTTTAATAAATAATATTTAATAATAAAGCATGAAAATAAATAGTAATGCAGAATACAAATGGTAATTAATAATATAGTGCTTAACAATACAGCATGCAGCGCTGTACTGTACTTAATAATACAGCATAAAGAAGGTATTTAACAATACAGCGTGAAGAGCGAATTTTTCTATAAAGTAAAAAACAAAAAATATGAAGTAATTTTTTAAAATCATATTTTATTAAATTAATTTCTTTAAATAAAAATAAAATAATAATTTATTTTATTTTATTTTTTAACTTTTTATCTTTGGAAAAAATAAACATAGAATGCAATTTACATACTGAAAAATCAGGTTAGACACACAACAGGAGCTTGTGAGCAATGGAAGATGGAGTTTAAAAATAGAAAATAAGAAAAATATTTCTAAAAGCATACACTAAAGAAAAAAAAATTCATAAATATCGAAATTACTAATAAGGAAGTTAAAAAAAGTTGTGAACTGTAAGTGTAAATAGTCTCATTTCTTCTGCCGGACATCTTTTATTAATGACTCTTGGGAGACTGGAAACTTGATCTATTGCAACTTTCAGATCAAGGCTGGAATCTTTCATTAATGGCAAACACAGTGACATTAATCCATTCTCCAAGTTAAATAATATAATAAACTATTGTCATATTGTGTTTCGGATTACGGAACAATGAAAGAAAACATCTTCAGTTTCGCATCAAAGAAAAATAGCTCTCGACGTAAATAAATCTTTACGAATACAGTAAAACCTGTCAAAAACGGAACCCTATCTAAACGGAAAAAATTCTTCGATTTTCTATAATAAAACCTGTGTAAACCGGAATCAATGGGTATCGCATATATTCCCCGTTTGGCAGGTTTCCGTTTTGCACAGATTTTTTTTTTTAACCACAGAAAATNTATTATTATTATTATTATTATTATTATTAAATCGATGAATGTAGAAATCTGTATAAACTCTAGAAATCTCTCTCTCTCTCTGTCTCTAGATTTATCTAAAATTTATTTATTTATTATTTTTATAGAATAAAATTTTTTAAAAATTCTAGAATTTAACATCAAAAGTAAGATTCTGAACACAGAAAAAACATTAAACAAGATCAATTTCACATAAAGAAAGGGAAAAAATTAGGACAAAAAATCCCTGTAATATTATTTTTCCATTTGGAAAGGAATTTTTTTTTTGTTTTTGTTTTTTAATTTATATTTCGAGTAAATAATTAATTTTTTCCCTAAAATTTCGTTTTAAAATTTAAAAAAATTAATAAAATATTCTTTGTGTTTACATAAAGATACACTTCTACTTAAATTTATTTACAAATGAAATCAATTTTACTTCTATTTTTATAATAGGAGAGAAGCGCAAGATGAACTGTTTTAAAGTAAATAAATAATAAAAAGAAATAAATTTAAGAAAATTTTACGGATAAAATATTTAATTTTTAATTCTAAAACTCGCTATCGAATAGAAAAAAAAAATCTTGATTTTAATTAATCTAACCGATTGCTAAATAAAATTAATTTATTATTATTAATAAACATAATTTCAATTTATGCCTTAGTAAATCTCTGGAAAATCGATTCTAATACTTAAATTAATAATTATTTTTATAATATAATTAAAATTCTCGAAATAAAGAAGACAAATTGTGTTTGGTAAACATGATTTATCATAAATTACAATTATTATTCTTCAATAATTATAACACTATTAAGATTTAACTGGGGGAATTTTCAAGATATTATTCTCTCATTTAGTTAATGATGATAATGAAAAAAAGGGGGGAAATATTCGAAAAGATAATCTTAAAAATTGATTTTTAAATTAACTCCTATTCAACTGTGAATAATGCAAGCAAAGAGAGTTTCCATGATAATCAACTCCTGATAGAAGTTAGCCCTTTATACTTTAATTATAAATTAAAATTCCTAATCCATCTAATCATTTATAAAGAATTAAATTCACGAATTACATCTGGAATATTTTTGGTTGCGAATTTATAGAATAGAATCTGTAATAAATTAAGGAAAATACTTCAAAGTTTTACACGAATCACCGGCGATTCTTAAATTCAATTGTTCTATGGAGTTTATAAGGAGTTTAAGGTAATGAATTTAAAGTTAATTTATATTTATTTATGGGGAAAAAAATCCATATATATATATTTATTTATTTATTTTCTAAATATATCAACCAATAAAACGTTAAACTGAAGTGTAAAAAGTTATACGACGTTGTAGGAGATTATTGACAATATTACTTGGCATGTGAAGTAATATTAGGGATATTGGATGCCCAGTTTTTTAACTGTGAAAGAAAATATATATATGAGAGAGAGGAAGAGAGGAGATAGGTCAACGACAGGACGTCACTCCTAAATACTCAACTTTTTTTCTTACATTTTTTTTTTTTTCTACAATAATTAGATTTTGTGACCTCAAACCAGCATCCACACATATCACTTCTTGTTACGTCACTAAATGTACGTTACGTATGAGAAAAAATTTCGTAATTTTTCTATAATTTTTGCTTGAATTTATGCCGTTTACTAGGTGTTAAAAAGACTTAAGATGGAAGGAAGCGCGCACAATACACAAAAAACCGAGCACGGAGGGGGGAGACGTGAGAGGAAAATCCACGATTTGATCTGACATAGAAATGAAAAGAACACGTGGAACTTGGATAATCAATAGAAACTGCGGAGACAGCGAGTTGCCACTAATGTCGATCTGCCCATACATTTTTCTCATCAGTCAGAGTCGGAAAGGGGCCATTGTTCTGTTCGGAGATTGGAGGTCAGAGGTCGTGACACTCGTGCACTTTCCTCCGACGTCTCTTCTATTATTAGATTGAGGAGTAAAGATCGAAAGTAAAAGTTACTCACCGTCTCTTTTATGCCTGGAAACTCTTGTTGTGTTTTCGTTTTCCAATTTCCATTGCGGGTAAGACAAAGCGAAGTATGGGATGGAAGTCACCAACGACCAAAACACTAGAAATTTGGGAATTTTGGAATCCATCACCTCAAACCATTAAGTCGTTATCCCTATTGTGTGAGAGCTGGAAGCTCTCCTTTTGACCATGTTAAAAGCTGTGCATGAATCCTACCGAAAGGGAAAGCTGTCTCATCTCTAGGCCAGCTTCATTCCGACTGACAATCTCCAGCTTCCGCCGAAAAAGACATCTGCCACCTGGCGACGGAAGATGGAAGCTCTTCGTTTAATATTTATACAGCGACATCCACCACTCGAATCTGTTTCTCCCTCAGTTTTAAACGTTACTTCTGTATTTAAAAAAAATTAAAAAAACACAAAAATTGCGTCGTAAAATAAACGTTTCAAGTTTAAAATAAAGAATTCGATCGATTTTCTTACATTTTATAAAAATAAAATCGGTTTTCTAACGGGTTTTTCCGAGTTTAATCCCTTATTCTCGCAGCATCAGTGAGTCGGATTTAACTCGTGTTTTCGAGATTATATAAGAAATTTTAAGTAATTAAACGATTTAAAAAACGTTTTAAATATTTAATTCCAATTAATTAAGGATCGTAGGCGTGATATACGGCACGAATATCGCATTCAGATGCTGCGATTTCTAGCATTTACGGATGCCAAATTGAAAGAATGATGGATGGAAAGACATCAAACGACCGCATTCGAGACAAGAAAAGTGACTTCTAACATGTCACTGCTGCTGATTTGGAATTGCAGATATCACGTTCAATCTTAATCTAAGAAATCGAACTGCTCTTGATGTTCCTATATATTGAACTTTATTAGAAAATAAAGTTTTATTTTCTACACTAGTTGGTTACTGCGCTCTCGTTTCCGTCGGAAACTAAATTGAAATCTATTTTTAAACCCCAATTTCTTTACTTTTTAACAAGAGAACGATTGAAAAATTTTAATTTTTTATCGTATTTTTAATGTATTTAATTTAAAATATATGCTCTCCATCTCAAATTATTGTCTTACCCCTGTAAATCATACTTTTCCTGATAACAATAGTGTCATGCTGGTTAACTAATGTATCCATTCAGGTAAATTTTTGAATTGAAATAGCGTAATTTTCGATGAAAATCGGAAGTTCGTACATAGTTAACTGGGAAAAAACTACAATTAAAGTTTACACATATTTAACTTGATTATAATGGCTAATTATATGAATTTTTATGTGTAATTAATGCTTTGTTTATGATTTTAAAGTGCCTTTCTCGTAAGTCATTTATAAAAATAACGATTTTATTGACATATAGCTTAGAAAATAAATTTTTTTATAAAAAAAAAAGTTATGGTTACGGGCCATCAAGAGTATGGAATTATCGCTTATTACACACTTAATTGCATGTAAGTAACTTTAGATACAGCAAGGAATGGCTTTCGAGAGTTTGAAGGATATTAAAATAACAAAAAAAAATTCACTTCTTAAATGATTTAAATTAATTATTTATGGTCAATTTATTCATATTTATAACGAGGATATCATCAAAAATTTTTAAATTCTTTTATTAAATGATAGAGCATCGATGACCTAATTATGTCACAGTCAATGAAGCGTAATCTATAACAAGTTTAATATTTATTTAACGTTTAATATGTATACGTAGAGAATTCCTGTGTGCATTGTCCAATCTAAAAAATAAGAAAATTGAACATAGATTTGAGGAACACAGATAAGGAAATTGAATACAGAAGCACAAACACAGAAAGAGCATTAAAAATAGATGTATAGAACACAGGAGAGTGTAGAATACAATGTATAAAACAGAAAAGAAAGTTGAGCACAGATATATCGAACACAGAGAAGGAAATGCTGAACACAAACGTATAGAACATAGAGAAAAGTGTTGAACGCAGATGTATCTAACATAGTAAAGAAAGTTGAGCTCAGATTACAGGACACAGAAATAGTACACTTAGATTCAATCAACTTACTTTTCTTATACCTTTCTACACTCTTCTGTGTTCAATCAACAGCGATATAGAGAGCACAGAAAAGGGAGTTGAGTGCAAGGAGGCCTATAGAACACAGAAGAGCGCTGAATACAAACGTGCACAGAACACAGAAAAGGAAGTTGAATACAAAGAACAGTGTTGAACAACAATACAGCAAAGAAAGGAAAGTTAAGCATAGACACGGAGAAAGAAAATTAACATAGATGTATGAACATTTTGTAGTGACAAACTCTAAAAATTGGACTTTCTTCTCTTGATCGTTATTGGCAAAATTTAACTCGTACAAAAAATAAATAAATAAAGGAATTCAAGTATTTATTAAAAATTCAGAAAAAAAATTTTAATATGTATTAAATTATATATTAAATTTAAAAACTTCTATATAAAATCAAAAATAAAATCAAATAATAGTTTGTAAGAATCGTATTAAATTTCTATTTTATTTTATTTTTACAGTCGAATCTTAAATAACGGCCTCCTCCCATCAACGACCGCCTCAAAACAGTGGCATATTTTATTATTTAGGATATTTTCCTGTGAGCAAAATTGCATACGAACCAACCTCCGAACAACGGACACTTCTTTATTTCCGTCGGTGTCCGTTCTCCACAGGTTGGACTAACGTATTTAAAGTGCTTCTCTCGCTCCACTTATTCTCTGTACGTGTATTAAAATTAAATACGTGCAGTTATTCATAGTATGACTAACGCAGTTTACTAATTAACTATATATATATTTAACTAATTTATGCACGTGTTTACCCATTTATAAATGCTAATAGTAACGATATCAACACACAAATTGTGACACTTGACATTTAAATACGCTTAAATAAATTTTAAAAATAACTTTAAAAAAAAACTTAAAATATATAATTTAAATAGTTTAATAATTCCAAATTTATCGTGTATATTTATTGTGTGAATCTTATTTTCCTTGCTCTTGATTCGTTGAATTAATGTTACGTTACGTTATGTAACTTTCGTATCATTTTGTGTTAAATTTTACGCGGATTTGACGTCATTTTGCTTTTACGTGACTATAAACTCACTTTTATGTTTATACTTTATGTAAGAGTTTTCCCATATTACGTCGAGTTTTCGACGTCACTTGCATAATTTTGACGCAATTTTATATAATGTGACATCATGTTATGCTTTACTATTATAAAAATTTAACGTCATTTTGTGTTAAATTTTACATAATTTTGTGCTAAATTTTTACATAAATTTAACGTCATTTTGTGTTAACTTTTGTGTAATTTTGTGCTAAATTTTTGCATAAATTTGACGCCATTTTGTGCTAAATTTTTACATAAATTTGACGCCATTTTGTGCTAAATTTTTACATAAATTTGACGCCATTTTGTGCTAAATTTTTACATAAATTTGACGCCATTTTGTGCTAAATTTTTACATAAATTTGACGCCATTTTGTGCTAAATTTTTACATAAATTTGACGCCATTTTGTGCTAAATTTTTACATAAATTTGACGCCATTTTGTGCTAAATTTTTACATAAATTTGACGCCATTTTGTGCTAAATTTTTACATAAATTTGACGCCATTTTGTGCTAAATTTTTACATAAATTTGACGCCATTTTGTGCTAAATTTTTACATAAATTTGACGCCATTTTGTGCTAAATTTTTACATAAATTTGACGCCATTTTGTGCTAAATTTTTACATAAATTTGACGCCATTTTGTGCTAAATTTTTACATAAATTTGACGCCATTTTGTGCTAAATTTTTACATAAATTTGACGCCATTTTGTGCTAAATTTTTACATAAATTTGACGCCATTTTGTGCTAAATTTTTACATAAATTTGACGCCATTTTGTGCTAAATTTTTACATAAATTTGACGCCATTTTGTGCTAAATTTTTACATAAATTTGACGCCATTTTGTGCTAAATTTTTACATAAATTTGACGCCATTTTGTGCTAAATTTTTACATAAATTTGACGCCATTTTGTGCTAAATTTTTACATAAATTTGACGCCATTTTGTGCTAAATTTTTACATAAATTTGACGCCATTTTGTGCTAAATTTTTACATAAATTTGACGCCATTTTGTGCTAAATTTTTACATAAATTTGACGCCATTTTGTGCTAAATTTTTACATAAATTTGACGCCATTTTGTGCTAAATTTTTACATAAATTTGACGCCATTTTGTGCTAAATTTTTACATAAATTTGACGCCATTTTGTGCTAAATTTTTACATAAATTTGACGCCATTTTGTGCTAAATTTTTACATAAATTTGACGCCATTTTGTGCTAAATTTTTACATAAATTTGACGCCATTTTGTGCTAAATTTTTACATAAATTTGACGCCATTTTGTGCTAAATTTTTACATAAATTTGACGCCATTTTGTGCTAAATTTTTACATAAATTTGACGCCATTTTGTGCTAAATTTTTACATAAATTTGACGCCATTTTGTGCTAAATTTTTACATAAATTTGACGCCATTTTGTGCTAAATTTTTACATAAATTTGACGCCATTTTGTGCTAAATTTTTACATAAATTTGACGCCATTTTGTGCTAAATTTTTACATAAATTTGACGCCATTTTGTGCTAAATTTTTACATAAATTTGACGCCATTTTGTGCTAAATTTTTACATAAATTTGACGCCATTTTGTGCTAAATTTTTACATAAATTTGACGCCATTTTGTGCTAAATTTTTACATAAATTTGACGCCATTTTGTGCTAAATTTTTACATAAATTTGACGCCATTTTGTGCTAAATTTTTACATAAATTTGACGCCATTTTGTGCTAAATTTTTACATAAATTTGACGCCATTTTGTGCTAAATTTTTACATAAATTTGACGCCATTTTGTGCTAAATTTTTACATAAATTTGACGCCATTTTGTGCTAAATTTTTACATAAATTTGACGCCATTTTGTGCTAAATTTTTACATAAATTTGACGCCATTTTGTGCTAAATTTTTACATAAATTTGACGCCATTTTGTGCTAAATTTTTACATAAATTTGACGCCATTTTGTGCTAAATTTTTACATAAATTTGACGCCATTTTGTGCTAAATTTTTACATAAATTTGACGCCATTTTGTGCTAAATTTTTACATAAATTTGACGCCATTTTGTGCTAAATTTTTACATAAATTTGACGCCATTTTGTGCTAAATTTTTACATAAATTTGACGCCATTTTGTGCTAAATTTTTACATAAATTTGACGCCATTTTGTGCTAAATTTTTACATAAATTTGACGCCATTTTGTGCTAAATTTTTACATAAATTTGACGCCATTTTGTGCTAAATTTTTACATAAATTT